AAAAAAAAAAAAAAAAAAGAATGCATAGTGCATACAAAATGTTTAGCATGGCATTTCGCACATAGTAAGTACTCAGACCTTAACTATTTTTAGTTATGATGATAAGAGACCTTCAGGGGCTGGGGTTATAGCTCAGTGGTAGAGTGCTTGCCTCACACATGTGAGGCACTGGATTCAATCCTCAGCACCACATAGAAATAAATAAAATAAATATATTTAAAAGAGAGAGAGAGAGTTGTGATTTATCTCTCTAAAGAAAAATAATAGCGTGGGTCTGGGTTTGTGGCTTAGTGATAAAGCACTTCCCTAGCAAGTTTATGGCCCTGAGTTCAACCCCTAGCACTTCAGTAAAACAGAAAAAGTAAGAAAATATAGTCTGCCATCTAGTCTATAAAATTTTGTCTTTTTTTTTTTGTAATGAAAAAAATTCAGCATTTTGTTCAAATTTTTTTTTCTTTCTTTTTTTAATATTTATTTTTCAGTTTTCAGTGAACACAACATCTTTGTATGTGGTGCTAAGGATCGAACCCGGGCCACACGCATGCCAAGCGAGTGCGCTACTGCTTGAGCCACATCCCCAGCCCTGTTCAAATTTTTTTTAATAATTTTTTTTTCTTTTCTTTTTTTTACACTGTTGGCGATCAAACCTCAGAACCTCACACATGCTAGGCTGTTTAGGGGACAGATGAGACAGAACACCAAAGACAGCAGGAAGCAGTTTTATTTGGCTACAGCCAAGTTCAGGGGGTAAAGCTCTCAGTATAATCAATTAATCTGAACCCTGAGTTCAGGCAGTTTCAGAACTTTATGCCCAGTGTGTAGGGGGAGGGGCTCAGAAGTTCACACAAAAGCAGCTTTTTCTTTCACTGTTCTGGGCAAGTTAACCCTTCAAGGACAACACCTGCGAAGGGGAGAGCTTCTTCTCTCCTTTCTTTCATCCCCCTGCCAGCTGTTACCATGGAGCCCAATTAGTAACATCTTCTCTTGAATTTGAAATGTAAACATCTCTGTGACGCTGGTCTCCTTAAAAGAATCTATTTTTCTTATCACACTCTGCATTTACAGACACACTTCCCTTGAAAACCTTTACAAATTATTATATATATTTTGTTACCAGAAAGTCAATAAATGGAGCTGGGCATATAGCTCAGTTGGAAGAGTGCTTGCCTTGCATGCAAAAGGCCCTGGATTCAATCACCAGGGATGAAACCTAGAGTTTGGTGCCAGGGATGAAACCTAGAGTCTAGCACATGCTACCCACTGCACTATGCCTCAAGCCTCATAAAGGAGTTTATTTATTTTTATTTTTTATTTTTTTGGTAGTTGTAGATGGACAGGATTTCTTTATTTTACTTGTTTATTTTTATGTGGTGCTGAGGATCAAACCCAGTGCCTCATGCAGGCTAGGCAAGCACTTTACCATTGAGCTCCAGCCCCAGCCCTAAGGAGTTTATTTTTTAATTTATTTTTCGGTGCTGGGAATTGAACTTGGGGACAAGCTCTCAGTGAGCTACATTTTCAGCCTTTTTTTCTTTTTTCTTTTGAGACACGGGTCCCTAATTTGCCCAGGTTGGCCTTAAACTTGTGATTTCTTATCTCAACTTCCTAAGTCACTGGGATTTCAGGAGTGCACCACAACACCCAGCTTAAAGGAATTTAAAGGAAGTTTTTTGGTTAGTCTGAGGCATTGAGAAATGTTTACTAGGGTGATCCTTACTTGGAAGTGGATGCAGGTTAGGTAGTGCTCTCAGGGCTTTCTACTTTGATTCCCCTGCAGCCCAGGCCCAGGGATCCACCAGCCATTTGGATGCTCCTCACTCTCTGGGATAAATTAACATTTTATTTTCTCTCAGATGTCTTATTTGGTGTGGAAACTTGCAAGAAGTGGGAACATTTTCTTCCTTTTATATCATTAACTGTGAAATTATGAAACATGTTTTCAGTAATATGGGAGTCTTCTGCATACATCTGGAAATGGGACATGATTTCAGGTGGACTCTTTCAAGGGGATGGGTTTTCTGGAACACTGGAAAGGTTCTGTTCTATTCAGGCATACCAGGGCACAAACCATCTTCTCAAATGAGCTGCTTCTTCAGGGCTGGGGATGTGGCTCAAGCGGTAGCGCGCTCGCCTGGTATGTGTGCGGCCCGGGTTCGATCCTCAGCACCACATACCAACAAAGATGTTGTGTCCACCGAGAACTAAAAAATAAATATTAAAAAAAAAAAATTCTCTCTCAAATGAGCTGCTTCTGTAAGAACCACAGAGGTCCAGTGTTTGGAAATATTCTCCTAATAATAGGAACTGTTATCCTGTGTGTAGTACTTGCTGTGTGCTAGTACTGTTGTCTCCCACATAGTTGACTCATTTAACTTTCACTGTTGTCATCCCTACCGAAGTGCTAAAAGCTCTGAATCAATAGCCTCTGCTTACATAGCTGGTAAATGCCAGATTGTGGATTTGAATCTAGGCAGTCATTTCCTAAACTTTTTTTTTTTTTAATTTTTTTTTTTTTTTAATATTTATTTTCGGCGGGCACAACATCTTTGTTTGTATGTGGTGCTGAACTTTTTTTGTGCTACTTTGCCTCAAGATCATAAATAGTTTAACCTTCTTTTTTTCTTTAAACAATTTAAAATGGTATTTTTTGGACTTCTACTTTTTTTTAGGGATTATGCCAGTCTCGGGATGTATAGAGATGGGTGAGGTAATTTTTATGTTTAAGGAGTTCATGATCTAGTACAGGACTATTCAGTAGACTTTTTACAATGATGGAAATGTTCATATCTTTGTGGCCCAATATGGTAGCAACCAAACACATGGAATTACCAAGTTAGTGTGACGAAGAAATTTTTTTTGTTGTTGTTGTTGTTATTGTTATTTGTTTGTTTGTTTGTTTGTTTTGGTACCAGGGATTGAACTCAGGGGCATTTAACCACTGAACCACATCTGTAGCCCTTTTTTATATTTTATTTAGAGACAGGGTCTTGCTAAGTTTCTTAGGGCCTCCCTAAGTTGCTGAGGCTGGCTTTGAATTTGAGATCTTCCTGCCTCAGCCTCCTGAGCTGCTGGGATTATAGGTGTGCACCATCTATAATAAAAAACAGAATTTTTAATTTTTTAAATTATTAATTAAGGCTGGGGCCATAGCTCAGTGATAGAGAACATGCTTAGCATATCTGAGGCCTGGATGTGATCCCCAACACTCAAAAATAATAGTAATAATCATAATTATTAATTATTTGATTTTAATTAACTTATTACATGGTTACATGTAATGGTGCTTAAATGGACATTTCCTACTGGGAAGAGTAAGACCAAGCTAATAGCAATGATACATCTAAGTATGATTGGAAAAGTCCTCAGCAGGGAAATACTATTTCTACACATTTAGTTATTCACCAAGCTGCGCAAATTTCACTCCATTAATATGTCTCAATTTTCTTTCTCACTTTTATTCCTAAACAAGCATATCAATTTTTAGAATAAATTCTTCCAGGAGGATTATAAAAACCCTGAACATTAGAGACTTGTGAAGAAGAAAAACCCTTGGCCACTTCCATCTGGCAGGCCTTCCCTAGCATAGGTGGTATCATTGGCAGTGGTGGAAATCCTTAGGGAATTAGTTTTGGGTAGAAGCTGCTCACTTCTGCTTTGTTCCATCAAGCTACCTGCTTCTAAGTGCTTATATTCTAGGCTCACTAAATCCAAAGCACAATTTGTGTGTGTTCTTTTCCTGCCAGGTTATGGCCACCTGACATAATCTGCAGCTCAAAAGTCATACTGTCCTGTTCTCTTTTTAGTTCAAACCTATCTTCTTGAACACTATTGATCCATCTCACCCTATGGCAAAACTGAGCAGAGCAGCCAATACCCAGAAATGCATCAGGGCTGGAGGCAAACATAATGACCTGGATGATGTGGGCAAGGATGTTTACCATCACACCTTCTTTGAGATGCTGGGCTCCTGGTCTTTTGGAGATTACTTCAAGGTAAGCTCAGTGCAGAAGAACCTTTGGAGTTTTAAATAAAGGGATCATTTCCATTAAGGAAACAAGTTTGTTTGTTTGTTTTTAAAGCATGAAATATCATCATCTAGAAGATTAATAGTGAAGGATATTTGTTAATTCTAATACCCCGAGAAATAATAACTCTAATTTGATGATTTCAGTTTGTATTTCTTACATACATTCATCCTGAATTTGGTTGAGTTTATAGTGAAGATATTATAGTTTTCATGTTCTTAGGATATTTTGGTTTGGCCATCTTCTTTATCTTTCATTTTGTTATTTTTGTAGGAATTGGCCTGTAAAATGGCTCTGGAACTTCTCACCCAAGAATTTGGCATTCCAGTTGAAAGACTGTATGTTACATACTTTGGTGGAGATGAAGCAGCTGGCTTAGAACCAGATCTGGAGTGCAAACAGATCTGGCAAAATTTGGGGTAAGAATGCAACTCATTTGCAGAGAGTAGAGAGGAGTAAGTGATTACTAAACTCAGTGCCAGAGTTTATGATTTTGAATTCAAAATCTTATGGTTTTAAGTACATTGCCATTTCTCATTTTGGGATGTGTGTTTGTGATGTATGTTAGGGTGACTGAGAGTAATTATTCTTTTTTATTTTTCCTCCTCTGCTGGGGTTCCAAACCAGAGCTTTGCTAGGCACATGTTCTATACTGGACATATCTCTAGCCCCAGGAGTAAATATCTTTTGATGTATTCATTGCTTTTCTTTGGGGGGGGTACTGGGGATTGAACACAGGGATACTCCACCACTGAGCCATATCCCCAGCCCTATTTTTTTTTTTAATTTATTTTTTTAATTTTCGGCAGACACAACATCTTAGTATGTGGTACTGAGGATCAAAGCCGGGCCACACGCATGCCAGGCAAGCATGTTACCGCTTGAGCCACATCCTCAGCCCTCCCCAGCCTTATTTTGTATTTTATTTAGAGACAGGGTCTCACTGAGTTGCTTAGTGCCTCACTGTTGCTGAGGCTGGCTTTGAACGCACAATCTTCCTGTCTCAGCCTCCCAAGCCCCTGGGATTACAGGCATATGTCATCACACCCGGCTTCATTGCTTCTTAATATGTTCAGTCATTCTATTGTTGAAAGCTGACACAAGAGTCCCTCATTTTTTGTGTTTTATAAATTTTTAAAAATTGTGTATATAGGGGCTGGGGTTGTGGTTCAGTGGTTGTGCGCTTGCCTAGCATGCGTGACACACTGGGCTCAATTCTCAGTACCACATACAAATAAATAAAATAAAGGTTCGTCAACAACTAAAAAAATATTTTTTAAAAAAATTGTGTATCTAAGGCTAGGGTTGTGGCTCAGCAGTAGAGCGCTCACCTAGGATGTGTGAGGCCTTGGGTTCGATCCTCAGCATCACATAAAATAAATAAATAAAATAAAGGTATTGTGTCCAACTACAACTAAAAAAAATTAAATATAAAAAAAAATTGTGTATCTAGCCAGGAGCAGTGTTGCCTGTCTATAATCTGTGGAGGCTGAGGCAGGAGGATCTCACGTTTGAGGGCAGCTTCAGCAACTTAGCAAGATCTGTCACAAAATAAAAAGGGCTGTTGATGTAGTTCAGTGATAAAGTGTTGCAGGTTCAATTCCCATTACCCTTCCCACCCCCCCCCAAAAAAAAAATTGTATTTCTAATGCATGTGTTGTAAACATTTAAATGCTATTGAAATGTTGAAAATAGGAAATGAAAGTCTCTAAGATTAATCATTTTTCAGTAATTGTATACTCTGTACGTAGTCTTCCAGCTCTTTTTCATATTTTTGTAGACTAGTTTTTTTCAAAAGTGGTGTTCTTTATATGAAATAGTTATTTCTTATGAAAATGTAATGGTATCAAACAGGATTAGAAAAAAGAAAGTTTTTTTAAAGTTTAATGTATAATATATTATAAAAGTGAACACAATGGATGAGTTATATGTTTTTGTGTTTGAACACTTAAAATAATATTGAAATCTTAATAGTATTTGTGCTGTATCAAGGAGAATCTGAATATAGGGGACTGGGATGTCCATGTTGTCATTGTCTTATTTTCTTATTAACTCTCTTGTTATACTTGGACGCAGTATTGTATCATTTGTTCTTTTTTTATTATTATTATTTTTTAGTTGTTGTTGGACACGTGCCTTTATTTTTATTTATTTTCATGTGGTGCTGAGGATCGAACCCAGAGCCTTGCACATGCTAGGCGAGCACTCTACCACTGAGCCACAACCATAGTCCTGTCTTTTCTTAATTGATTTTTTTTTTTTGTAATGCAGATGGAACCAACTTAGCCACGCCCCTACCCTGCTTTGATTTTTGAGACAAACAAGTCTCACTAAGTTTCCCAGGCTGTCCTTAACTTGAGATCCTCCTGCCTTAGCCTCACAAGTAGCTGGGGTTATAGGCATGTGCCACTGGGGCTGACTTTAATTAAAAAAAAAAAAAATTACTTTCACTGTACTTGAATCTTTTTTTTTTTTTTTTTAAAGAGAGAGTGAGAGAGGAGAGAGAGAGAGAGAATTTTTTAATATTTATTTTTTAGTTCTTGGCGGACACAACATCTTTGTTGGTATGTGGTGCTGAGGATCGAACCCGGGCCGCACGCATGCCAGGCGAGCACGCTACCGCTTGAGCCACATCCCCAGCCCCCTTGAATCTTGTTTTACTTGACTTTATATATATCCTGTACTTTGTTTATCAAACAAGCAAGATCTCTTCTGAGTGCTTTATTATTTAGCAACTTTCAACAAAGCAAATGGTTTTTAATTCTTTTAATTTTTTTTTTTTTTGAACTGGGAGTGTTGCTTAGTGGTAAAGTGTGTACTTAGCAAGCATGTGGCCCTAAGTTTGATGCCCAGCCTCATACACTCACAAAACTCTGCTCTCAATATCACTAACACCCTCTCCCTCCATCCCCCCCCTCTTTTTTTGGTACCTCCGATTAAACCTAGAAGTACTTAACCACTGACCCATATCCAAACCCAGAGGCACTTAACTAATGAGCCACATCCCCAGCCCTCTTTATTTTTTTGAGACAGGGTCTCACTGAGTTACTTAGAGCCTAAGTTGCTGAGGCTGGCTTTGAACTTGCTATCCTGTCTCAGCCTCCAAAGCCACAGTGCAACTGTGTCCAGCTTAACTAACCCCATCTTGCAGGAGCTATATTAATCTCTTATTGAAGGTTAAGTCCTCATGACCAAATTACCTCTAAAAGTCCCACCACCTCTCAACACTATTCCATTAACTATTAAATTTTCCTTTTTTTTTTTTTTTGGAGGGGGGAGCTGGGGATTAAACCCAGGGCCTCATGCTAAGCATTCATAAAGCCACTGAGCTATGCCCCCAGGCCCTAAGCAGTTGAATTTCATGAGTTTTATTATGAACAGACCACCTCCACATACAAAGCATAACAGTCATTTTGAAAGATGAAGGGTCATTTGTAAAGAAAACATTTGTTAGCTGGGCATGGTGGTGCAGGTTTATAATCCCAGTGGTTGGGGTGGCTTAAGCAGGAGGATCTCTAGTTCATAGCCAGCCTGAGCAACTTAGTGAGGCCTTAAGCAATTTAGTGAGACCCTGTCTCAAAGTAAAAAAATAAAATAAAATAAACTTTAGTAGGATTTGTGTGTAGGCTAGGCTTAATATTAGTAATTACAAAGAGCAGGCCTTCTTTAGGAGAAATCATAAGGATCTCTTTTTGTGGTGGAAGCAGTCTTGGCAGGATTCTTGTCAGTGACTGTAACTGGGCTTATCTTCCCTGTTGTGTGTAGGCTGGATGACACCAAAATTCTCCCTGGCAACATGAAGGATAACTTCTGGGAGATGGGTGACACAGGCCCATGTGGTCCCTGCAGTGAGATCCACTATGATCGGATTGGTGGTCGGGATGCTGCACACCTAGTCAACCAGGATGACCCCAATGTGCTAGAGATCTGGAACCTTGTGTTCATCCAGTATAACAGGTAGCAATGGGATCCTGCTTCAATCCTGCTAAGAGGAGAACCTTTCCTTCAGTCAAGCAGAGAAAGAGGAATCAGCTACGTGACCGTCTTTGTGGCTGAAGGTTCTTTTCAGACCCTAATCTTTAGGGACAGTGGAACAATACTCATGTCACCTCTAGAGACATGAGATCTTATGGCAGTTCTTTAAATTTTATTCTCAGGTTTCTCCACTGATCTCTGTGGTAGAGCTAGGCCTATTCTTTTATAAACTAATTTTATCCCTTATAGTACCTTGAGGGCTACTCCTATAATGACGTTCCTGTTGACATTTGAGCTGCTATTTTAAAGCTCATTTCTCTGAAGCGTTCCTCATTCTAAAATGGACCCCAAAGTACTACCCTTTCTTTTGCCTTTCTCTCCTCCCCTCCCCTGTCACCAAACCAGACAAAAGCAAATGACAAATAGTCACAGGCTATAAACTGCATTGTGAGTTTTGACCAGCAGGACCTGAAGAGGTGACAACCTGAGTCCTTGCTTCAGCTTCTTCCTTTCTCTGGATTATACAGGGAGACCGATGGCATTCTGAAACCTCTTCCCAAGAAAAGCATTGACACAGGGATGGGGCTGGAGCGACTGGTGTCTGTGCTGCAGAACAAGATGTCTAACTATGACACTGACCTTTTTGTTCCTTACTTTGAAGCCATTCAGAAGGTATTGGTCCTGTTGCAAAGATTGAAACTTCCATGGAAGTTTCTAGGCTTTGCAATGCTGATGATCTTTGCAGCACTCAAAGATAAATCTCAAAGATAAATCATCATATGCTTTGTCAGCCATCGGTACCTGTTACCATCTGCTTATTTCATTGCCAGTAGCATGAGACTCTAGGCACAAGACAGTACAATTTGTTGAGTGTAAGGGGCTGGCAGGAGGGTTTTTGCTTTCCCTAGGGTCGCCTTTCCTGGGGTTATGGGATCTGGCAAAATAGTCATCCTTTCTCCCAATGCTCCTCAATCCTTTAAGACCCTCCTTGGCCAAGGCAGCATCAGAAGGGCTGTCTGCTAAAGGGCTGTGTCTGGGTGTTTACCTGTAGGGTACAGGTGCCCGGCCATACACTGGGAAAGTTGGTGCTGAGGATGCTGATGGGATTGACATGGCCTACAGGGTGCTGGCTGATCATGCTCGGACCATTACTGTGGCATTGGCTGATGGCGGCCGGCCTGACAACACAGGGCGGGGGTGAGTATATACATACTGGGCAGTGTTTGGATGGATACCATGAGTTTTATGACTCTTTGAAACTTAATACCAGACTTTATTATTGGTTTTTGTCTTCTGGGTAGGTGGAAGGATTTTTTCTTTTTAAGGAATAAAGGGAATTTCTGCTTATGTTAAAGAGATGCCACTATATCACTATCTTGAGTCTTTTATTTAAGGTTTTATGATAGAAATTTGGCAGGGGTGGATAGGTTCAGGTATTAACTATCCCCAGGAAATTTTATTACTGACAGGCAGGGCCTGAGATTACATGCATCTGGTTTGTTCTTGCCTCTCTCTGGGTAGCCAAATGTGAAAAGACAACAAACTAGGGTTTAGTCTAGCTAATCTTTGACATGCAGTTGGGGGTGTATTACTGAGTTTATGCTGGAATTAATCTTAGTGACTTTGGGGAAAACAAAAAGAAGCAGGATTAGGATAGAAAAAAGTCTATGCAGGAGCAAGTCAAAGGGCTGGGGATGTGGCTCAGTAGTAGAGCACCTGCCTAGCACACATGAGGCCCCATGTTCTGTCTCTAGCACTGCAAAAAAAAAAAAAGCAAGACAGAAAGTTGGTCATGTTGCCTTGGGTGGAATTACAAAGGTGCTATGACAGGACCCTCAGCTGGGAATGTTGTCTGCCAGGGCACTAGATTTTGCCTCTTACAGGTACGTGTTGCGACGGATTCTCCGCCGGGCTGTTCGATACTCCCACGAGAAACTCAATGCCAGCAGGGGTTTCTTTGCTACATTAGTGGACGTTGTTGTCCAGTCCCTGGTAGGTTCATTTCCCTGATACCTCGTCTGTGCTAAAGCCATATTCTAAGAGGGATAGAGTGGGAGGCAGCATGTTATTAATGGGCATTTGTAAGAGGGGTCCTGGAATGGTCTCTGGCTTGAGCACCCCCTTCTTTGTCAGGGAGATGCATTTCCCGAGCTAAAGAAAGACCCAGACATGGTGAAGGACATCATTAATGAAGAAGAAGTGCAGTTTCTCAAGACTCTCAGCAGAGGACGTCGCATACTGGACCGGAAAATTCAGAGCCTGGGAGACTGTAAGACCATTCCTGGTGAGGCACAGTTTGTGGCTTCCTCCATACTGGCTGTGGCATCTTTCTAGGAAAGGCAAGGCCCTCATTCACAGGCCTACAGTGGGGCTCCCATATGTGCCGAGGCTGAGCATAGCTGGGTCAAACTGCTTTTGGTGTAAAATGGGATTAAGAGTAAAATTATAAATGTTATACTTTATTATGGTAAGGTATTCAAACAATACAGAAGTAAAAAGTGAAAATCCTTTCCCCAAATTATTTTTCAGAGGTAATAGAGTTTGGTGTATTCAGGATTTTTCTCTAAATGCTTGAAATGCACATTTTTCTCTAAATGCTTGTATATATGTGTATGTTTTTCAGCAAAAGTGGGAACATTTGGCATATACCATTTTGCAACTTGCTTTATTTTTCACCAAATGGATAATTAATTTCAAAGGATTTTTGTTTTTGGTTTTGGTTTTTGGTACTGGGGATTGAACCCAGTGATGCTTAGCCACTGAGCCACATCCCCAGCCATATTTTTTGTATTTTATTTAGAGAGAGGGTCGCTGAGTTGCTAAGTGCCTTGCTGAAATGCTTAGACTGGCTTTAAATTCCCGATTCTCACGCCTCAGCCTCCCAAGCCATTGGAATTACAGGCCCAGCTTGTTGTTTGTTTGTTTTTTTTTTTTTTTAATTGAAGTATTATGTATAAAGGGAAGAATCTAAATTTTCTCAAACTGAACACACTAATTCAAATCAAGAAATGAACTTTACCAAGAACCCTGTCCTTCCTCCAGGTCACTTCCAATAGATTTATGGGTATTCTGACAAGTCTTGTAGGACTAATATTGACTTGTCTTGACTCTAATCCCTTTGGTCATTCCCAGCATCCTCTTGTGCATTCCACATGGAAAATAAGGGGGCTGTCCATGTTATTCTGATGCAACTCCCTTGTGCTATATAGGGGACACTGCTTGGCTCCTCTATGACACCTATGGGTTCCCAGTGGATCTCACTGGACTGATTGCTGAAGAGAAGGGCATGGTGGTAGATATGGATGGCTTTGAAGAGGAGAGGAAACTAGCCCAGGTAAGGAATGTGAGAGTAATCAGGAAACCCAATACCTTGAATCCCAGGCAAGACTTGGCTACAAAGCAACCATGACTTTCCTTCCATTGAGGTCTTTGAAATTTTTTCCCTAGACTAGAGGATCTCAAATGGGAGTGAATTTGCACCTTTTGGGGCCATTTGGCAATAATACATGAAGATATCTCTGATTTTCACAACTAGGGGTGAGATGCTCTTGTCATCTCATTAGTATAGGCCAGGGATGCTACTCTACATTCTCTGATGCAAGAGACCATGTCCACAAAAAAATAATGAACTGGCCTAAAATGTCAGTAGAGTGCCAAGATTGGAAAATGCTGTTCTAGAGCTTTACCTTGAGTATAATTTTGCAACTATACCCAAGGTATATATATATATATATAGTCCAGGCTTTAAGGTTCTCTTCCCCTATACACTTTAAGGTAACTAATGCTTGTCTCTTTTTGACAGCTGAAGTCACAGGGCAAAGGAGCAGGTGGGGAAGACCTCATTATGCTGGACATTTATGCTATTGAAGAGCTTCGGGCAAAGGGTCTGGAGGCCACAGACGATTCTCCAAAGTATAACTACTATTCAGATTCCAATGGTAGCTATGGTATGTTGCTGGCCTCCTTCTTCTGAGCTGTCTACCCCTTACCTAGAGTGTTTTGAGAGATCAGGTGCCCTGCAGCAGATCTCCCAAAAGCCTTTCCCTTAATGCTATACAGTTGTGTCAGGCTATTTCTTTTTCTTTTTTTTTTTTTCTTTCTTAAAGATGGGGTCTTGCTTTGTTATCCAGGCACCTCTCAAACTCTCGGACTCAAGAAGCGATTCTATCCAGGCTCCTAAGTAGCTGGTACTATAGACTTGCACCACCACACCTGGCTATGCTGCACTTTTATTCGCAAAAGCATCCTGGGCTGGTGGTTTTATTTTTATTAACTTTATTCTGGAATTACAGTTAGAGGACGTTGTAAAAAATAGAATTGCAGGGAGATTCTGTGTATCCTTTACCAGTTTCCTCAATTTGTACCACCTTCAAGGAATCAGGCAGTTGACCCTGAAACAGTGGCAATTGAATTTTGCATCAGTATATAGCATTTTAAAGTTAAGAAACAAAAGAAATAAATAAGCAATACAAGCTTTTGCATTTTTGCCCATCAGAGAGCAGTCTTAGACCAAAGTCTATCCAAGTGATCACACAAATTGAATACATTCTTTTTTTGGTACTGGGGATTGAATCCAGGGGTACTACTTAACCACTGAGCCACATCCCCAGTCCTTTTTATATTTTATTTAGCTGAAATTGGCCTCAAACTTGCAATCCTCCTGTCTCAGCCTCTTAAGTAGCTGGGATTACAGGCGTGTGCCAGTGCACCCACCTTTGTTACTAAAAGATTTAATCAGATTTATCAAGTTTCTATTCAGTGTCTATGAGTTAGAGTGACCAGCTGTCTAGTTTGCCCAGAGTTATCCCAGGGTTAACACTGAAAGCTTGCATCTCAGGAAACTCCTTAGTCCTAGAAACTGGGACACTTAGTTCCCCTATTGAGTGTTGCATCACCTGGTGTAAAACCAGCCTGCTAATTCTTTTTTGCCTAGTAAGCAAAAGACCCTGGGTTCAATCCCCAATACTGAGAGGAAAAAAATTCTACCTTTACATATATCTTAAGACACTCTTGGGGCTGGGGATATAGCTCAGTTTGTAGAGTGCTTGCCTTACATGCACAAAGCATGTAATGGGCTTACTTTCTAATAAAATTGGACAATCAGGACCTAAGAAGGATTTGAAAAAAACAGCAAAAGCCATCTAGGAATGTGTGAATGGAGCTGGGGACATAGCTCAGTGGTAGTATTTGCCTAGCAATGGGTGAAGTCCTGGATTTGATTCCCCAACACCAGAAAAGAAAAAAAACAAAGTGTACGAGAGTCGTTGATCTTGTCTTCTCCCATCTTTGCATTTCCACCGAGCAGTGTTTGAGAGTGCAGTGGCCACAGTGTTGGCTCTGCGCAGGGAGAAGATGTTCGTGGAAGAGGTGTCTACCGGCCAAGAGTGTGGAGTGGTGCTGGACAAGACCTGTTTCTATGCTGAACAAGGAGGGCAGATCTACGATGAAGGCTACCTGGTGAAGGTTGATGACTGCAGTGAGGATGTAAGCCAGCAGTTCTTCCATGTTAGCTAGGGAGGCATGGGTATGAAGCCCAGAACCTTCTTTTGCTCCTCAGCACTCCAGGCCTTGAGGAGCACACCCAATAGATATATTTTTTTTAATTAATGTTTTTTAACTTATATGTAACAGCAGAATGCATTATAATTCTTATTACACATGTAGAGTACATTTTTTCATATCTCTGGGTGTATACAAAGTATATTAACACCAATTCATTCAATAGATCTTTGAGTTGGGTTTCGTTGTCCGTGTTTCTACAACCAACAGAGCTGCTTATACTTGTTGCTTTCCTGACCATTAGGTATCCTTGTAGGGAAGATCCTTGGAACCAGGGTACACGGGTCAACCCTAGTTCTTGCATTCTTTCCTCATGAATAAGGAGAGGTATTTCTCTGAATGGCAAGCATCCTTGTAGGAAACTCGGCCCTTAGCTTAGCCACTGCTGAGTTTGGCTTCTGTTTGTTTTTTTTTTCCTACCCGCTTCCCACCCCAGTACTGGGGTTTGAACCCATAGGTGCTTTATCACTGAGCTACATCCCTAGCCATTTTTTATTTTGAGACAGGGTCTCAATTTCTGAGACTGTCCTCGAACTTATTATCCTGCTCCCTCAGCCTCCCAAGTAGCTGGGATTACAGTCATGTGCCACCACACCCTGCCAGGTTTGGCCTGGATGAAACACTGTCTGATTATTTATAATGGCTTTCAAATTCTTGAAGATGCTTCTCAATCTTGTGTATATGTATGTATATTTAACATATGTAATGGTATTGTATATATGTATATAGATAGAAACCACTAAAGAGGGCCCTTTTTTTTTTTTTGTAGTGCTGGGGTTTGAACCCAGGACTTTGTGCATGTAAGGCAAGCACTCTACAAACTGAGCTATATCCCCATCCCCAAGAGTATCTTAAGAGAATACATGTATGTGTACAATTTATATATGTAAAGGTAGAAATTTTTTTCCTCTCAGTATTGGGGATTGAACCCAGGGCCTTTTGCTTACTAGGCAAGCATCCTATCACTGAGATACATCCCCAGCCCCTGAAGAGAGAATTTTTATACATGTGAATTTTAATTTTAATATTTAACATATATGAATTTAATTTTAATGTGAATTTACACACACACTTAGATTTTTTTTGTTTTGTTTTTGTTTGGTACCATGGATTGAACCTAGGGCAATATACCACTAAGCCACATCTCCAGATCTTTTTATTTTTATTTATTTTTTAAAAATATTTATTTTTTATTTGCAGTTGGATACAATATCTTTATTTTACTTATTTATTTTTATGTGGGGCTGAGGATCGAACCCAGGGCCTCGCTTATGCTAGGCAAGCACTCTACCACTAAGCCACAACCCAAGCCCCGACCTTTTTATATTTTGAGATGGGGTTGCCCTAAGTTGTTTAGGGCCTTGCTAAGTTGCTGACGCTGGTTTTGAACTTTTAATCTTCCTGCCTCATCCTCCTAAGTCATGGGGATCACAGGTATGCACCACCACACTAGGCTCACACATAAATTTAGAGAGAGAATTGATGTTTTTTGAAAAAATCATTTGTTGGTTTCTTGCTTGACTCCCTTAGAAAACTGAGTTCACAGTGAAGAATGCTCAGGTGCGAGGAGGGTATGTGCTCCACATAGGAACAATCTACGGCAACTTGAAAGTAGGGGATCAGGTCCGGCTATTTATTGATGAGGTGAGTTGCATAATATTGGCCCCTATGGATCTTGTTAGTAATCATCTCCTTCAGTTTTATATTGTCCCATCTTTGTCCTTCCTAAGTGAAATTATAAGTAGGGTGCAGGAGTAAATTTTGGTACATTTTTATGGCTTGTGAGGGATGTGACTGAGTAAAACCTGCATGTTCCTTCAACAGTGGTTTTACCACTACTTTCTGTTGAGATCCTATGGACTTGTTCCATGGATTTCTCTTCTAACATTAAGCACTTCTTCAGAAGCTTAAATTAGTTAAGAACTAGGCTCTACTGCATGTGATAGCAAAGCTCCAAAACCATAGTTTAAAGTGAGATAGCAATATATATTTCACACCTAGAAGTCCAAGGTAACATAAGACTCTGCTCCACAGAATTACAGAGCTCAGCTTCTCCTCACTTGGTGCTCCATCATTCCTGGGGTTTGCCCAGGACTTCATGGTCTGTAATGATAACTATCAGACCCATGGTCTACACTAGAGGTTAGCAAATTATTTTTCATGAAGGGGCAGATGGTAACTATTTTGGCATTGTGGACCACATGCTGTCTATCACAGTTACTCAGTTCTGCTCTAGTAGTGCACAGGCAGCTGTAGACAGTATGTGAACGAATGAGTTTAACTGTGTTCCAAAAAAACTATTTGTAAAAATTTATAAAAATAGACAATAGGCCAGATTTGGCCCATAGGCCATAGTTGACTATTCTGGTTTTAGAAAGTGAAAGTGAAAGGTGCACACCCCTTCTCTTAAGGGTACTAATCACTTCTGCTCACATCCTCTTTGCCAGAACTTAGTAATATGCCAGAACTTACTGCCTTCAAGGGAAGCTGGAAAATGAAGTTTTTACTCTGGACAGCCATGTATCTAACTGAAAATTCTAGTATTGGGGGATGACTGGCCATTTGTTATAGCTATCCATTCATTCCCCAAATATCAGCCACCTCTTCCCTTTACAGCCCCGGCGGAGACCTGTCATGAGCAACCACACAGCTACGCACATTCTGAACTTTGCCCTGCGCTCAGTGCTTGGGGAAGCTGATCAGAAAGGCTCACTGGTTGCTCCTGATCGCCTTCGATTTGACTTCACTGCTAAGGGAGCTATGTCCACCCAACAGATTAAGAAGGCCGAAGAGATTGCTAATGAGATGATTGAGGCAGCCAAGGTAGGTTGGACTTGTCTAAGTTCATGACCGTCACCCTTTCCCACACCATCACTTTTTATCATGGAGGCTCAGCAGTTCAAGTGCTTTCATTCTATTATACCATATTGTGTCTTGCACATAGCTTTGCTTAAAGCAGGTAATTTTCCAAACTGCTTTTGTAGTGGGCAAAGGTAGTGTTTGGTGGTGGGAGAGAGCAGTCTTTAACCTGTTCCCTCCTTAGACAACCAGAGATCTTCTAGTTATCTGTTTCTATGTGTGTAGATTCTCTCTGTGTTGTTCAGGCTGGTCTCAAACTTCTTGTCTGAAGTGTTTCAGCCTCTAAAGTATCTGGGACTACAAGCATATATCACTGTGCCCAGCTATATTTCTATTTAATGTCTATTTACCTACATGCATCCACATGTGAATTGGCTTACAGTTTAACAAAATGTTGGAAATTCCCATCTTGATCCCTTTGTCTTGTACTGGTACATTATTTCAGGAGGCTTCGGGCACATGCCAGGCAGAGCTAGGGTTAGAGCCTTGGAGTCCTGCCAATAGGTCCACACCACTGAACCCAATAAGATGCAAAGGCTGGCCTTGAACTTGTGATCCTCCTGCCTCAGCCTCTCATGTAGCTGTTCTCTGTGCCTCTTGGTTCATCTTCAGGAAAGATTTTTTCCCAGTTTTTTTTTTTTTTCTTCTTTCTTGGCAGCCTGTCTACACCCAAGATTGTCCCCTGGCAGCAGCAAAAGCCATCCAGGGCTTGCGGGCTGTGTTTGATGAAACTTATCCCGATCCTGTGCGAGTTGTCTCCATTGGGGTCCCAGTGTCTGAGCTGTTGGATGACCCCTCTGGGCCTGCTGGCTCCCTCACTTCAGTTGAATTCTGTGGTGGAACGTGAGTACTGTGGGAGGAGCAGCAATAGATGTGGCACCTGCGTTTTGTTAAATTGGCAATACCTTTGAGGTAATAGGCTAGCTAGATTAGCTCATGTCTTCTTTCCTTTCTCACTTCCTCCTCCTTCTCTCCTTAGGCTGTATCCCTAGCTCTTTTTATTTTGAGACAGGGTCTCACTAAATTGCTCAGATCGACCTCATATTTATGATCCTCCTGCCTCCAGTCTTCCAGATAGTTGAGATTCAGGCTTGTGCCATTGTGCCTGGCCAGCTTCCTTTCTTGCTTGCTTGCTTATTATTTATTTATTTGTTTATTTGTTTGTTTTACTGTGCTTGAGATGGAACCCAGAGTCTTGCACATATTAGGCAAGCAGTATACCAATGAACTACATTTCCAGCCCCCAACTCTGGTTTTTCCAAGGTTGAAATGAAGTCCACAGATATGCGCTTGCTAAATGGTATTGTCAAGAATCCCAGTGCTTTAATCAGAGCCTTCAGTGTCTGACATTAACATTTCCTGGGTTTGTGATGAAATATTTTTCCTGGAAGAGGAGGTAAAAAGCATTGTGTACACACTTAGCAACAAGAATGCTGGTGTGAATTCAGGATTCAGCAAGGCCATGAAGTGCTTGTGGAGTTCTTGGTCTGGTCTCAGCCCCATTCATTCCTGGCACCTCACCTCATTTCCTTTGCTAGCTTTAGCAGCATCTGAGGAATTAAGCCTGTTGTCTCAGAGCTCCTGAGCAGGCTATGAGGTAGACCTGGCTCAGACAGCCTGGGAGAGCCAATTATTTCTATCAACTTATATTCCCTCAGAGCTAGTGGGGTCTTTTAGGGTAGGTCTTGGTGGCTTGGAAAGTTTCAGAGTAAGCCTGGTGGAAAGAACATTCTTAAGGCCATAGCCAAGACTAGCCAGGGTTTCCTACAGGCCTTAGGCAGTGAACAGGTGGGGTGTATGGAGGGCAAGTGATGGACCTGAGGGAACAAGTCCTAGGCCCCTGCCAACTGAATTGGACCTTCAAGTGAATGCCACTTCTTCCCAAATACCTGAAACAACTTTCAAAGACTTCATACCACCCTCACAGAATGACTGTGAGAATTATTGAGGAATAAGACCCTATTTGTTTAAGGGGTTGTGGAAAGATGTCAAAACTAATCCTCCAATATTCTCACCTTGTGAGCAGGGATATAAAAATATAGCTTACATTCCACCAAAGGACCAAAAACGTCATGTAGAGCCTATGTCATGTAGAGCCTGTCAGCCCTAATATTGGATGTTAGGGATTGTAGAGCACCTTCATGTTTATTTTATTTGATTTCACAACGGCCATGTGGGGGAGAATTATCCCCATTTTATACATGAAAAGACTGAAACCCAGAGGGATGATGTCCACCCAGTGTCAGAACACTCTTAAGCCCAGGCCTTCTCTCTCTTTCCCTTACTGCTTCTACTGTTCTTTAACCAGAGTTGTGTTCTGAAATTTCCTTAAATACGAGGTAATTACCCACTGTTCTCTGAGGGATGATGACCTCATGGGGTTCAGCCTAGCAGCTATGGGCTCCCCAGGGGTAGGGAGGTGGCTAGGGATCCTGGGCTTCCTTTCTTTTTTTTTTTTTTTTTCCCCAAATCAGAACATGACAAACAGCACATCTGGGCTTCCTTTCACTCCTGATTTGTGTTCTACCATTCAGGCATCTGCGGAATTCAAGTCATGCAGGAGCTTTTGTGATTGTGACTGAAGAAGCTATTGCCAAGGGTATCAGGAGGATTGTTGCTGTCACAGGTGCTGAAGCTCAGAAGGTGAGCACAGCAGGCAGGTGTGTAGTTTATTTAAACAAGGCAGGGGGAGCCCATTTTGAGAATCCATGGAGCAAACAGTTCTGTGGCTACTGTAGTCAGAAGGAAAATCCAGATTGCTACCCCCACCTGTCCTCCAGTTAACTCTACCTGGCAGAAGAAAGCCACCACCACATTGTCGTGTTTAACTCCCAGCTGTTATGATTAATCTTTTAAATGTATGTAAATTCTGTCTCAGTTCATCCATGTCTAGGAGGGTAAGCCAAAGTTTTGCTGTGGCTTCAAGGGTTCCCTCTCTTCTCCACCTATCCTAAGGATGTTTACCTAGTGTGAGGTGCAGGACATAGAGGTGCATGTTCGAAGAGTGGGAACTATAGTTTGTGCCAAATCCTGAGGACTAGTCATTTCACAGTTTGAAAAGGGCTCCTGATTTATGATTTCTTGGGCATCCTGAGCCTGATGTAGCAGGCAACTTTTGCTGACTGGGCATGTGAAGAAGGTGCTCCTTTCTGGGGCAGGAGGCTGTCAGCATTTGCTTCCCAGAGGAAAGAAATTTCTAGTCTCTTAGAGCATGTGCTCCACATGTGCTGTTGCTGCTTTTGTAGCTACTTACAGACAGAGCTGTGAGACCAGTGGGGGATGACTCAGATTTATAGATCTGATTGTCCCCTTCCCAGGCCCTCAGGAAGGCAGAGAGCTTGAAGAAATCTTTGTCTGTTATGGAGGCCAAAGTGAAGGCCCAGACTGCACCAAACAAGGATGTTCAGAGGGAGATTGCTGACCTTGGTGAGGTAAGGACAGCCTTACTCCCTCCTTGGCCTGCTCATTGCTTGTGTGCCTATGGAGCAAGGCCCTCCCTGTTCTTAAGGAACTCTCACTGTAGCCTCTGGGCTGACTTGTTATCCAGTGGCCTTGCAAAGGGGACTTTTTTGATGCTGGCCTACAAATCCCTGGACCCTGCCTACTGCTTCCAGTGCAGCTGGCAGGAGAGCCCTTTCTAAGTGTTAGTGGGGGTGAGGGAGGTGTGGAGGGAGAGTGTCCACTGTTTGCAGGCCTGCCTGGTGATTCTTAACATCTGGAACTTCCCCTAAGCCTTCTCAGCTGTGCTCATGGCCTGGTAAGGACCAGGTCTTACATGAGAGCTGAGCCCTCTTTATAGTGCCCCTTTCTCTCTAGCCTTGCTTGTGACAACTGCTGCAATTGCTACAGTGACTGGTCTCAAGACCAGCAGATATCTTTTCCTAGACACAAGCTGGAGAGGACTTTGGTTTAAAAGAAGGGTGGGGTGGGCTGGAGCTTCATATCCTAGCACCATGTAGCCCAGAGCCAGTTAGTCTTCTGGTTCCTGTTCCAGGCACTGGCCACTGCAGTCATCCCCCAGTGGCAGAAGGATGAATTGCGAGAGACTCTGAAATCCCTGAAGAAGATCATGGATGACCTAGACCGCGCTAGCAAAGCTGATGTCCAAAAGCGAGTGAGTCCTGGCTGTGCTGGTGGCAGGAAGGGAGCCAAGAGGATTTCCTGGACAGAGTCTAGGTGACTGCTGCCTGGGTTTCGGGGTCCGGGCCTTTGGCCTGACACTCTGCTGGACTTCCTTGTAGGTGTTGGAGAGGACAAAGCAGCTCATCGACAGCAACCCCAACCAGCCTCTGGTTATCCTGGAGATGGAGAGCGGCGCCTCAGCCAAGGCAATCAGGGGCTAGGGTCTGGGCACTTCCCGGCCTGTCCACTGCATGTCCCCTTCCTTCTAGGCCTCATCAGCCTTCTGGTGGCAGATGGGTGGGCTTTGAGTCTCTGAGCCATGTGGTCAACTGAGGACTCGCTGTCTAGGATTAAGGTTAGACTGAGCCATGGAGAAATATGAGCTGGAAGAAGGAGCAGCTCCCTGGAGTTATAAGGCAAACTTCAGAGCCAGAATGTGGGCAGGGCTCTGGGCTTGGTCCTTCTTCATACAGGCTCCCAGGGACAGCACCTGCTCTTGGAAGGAATTGGGGTGGTGGCTTGAGGGCTGAGCTCTGTAAACTCCCTGATTTAGAGCAGGGCCTCCTGCCCCAGGGCCCTAGCCTAACACTAGGTTCCCCCTGTAGGCTCTGAATGAAGCCTTGAAGCTTTTCAAGACGCATTCCCCACAGACGTCTGCCATGCTCTTCACAGTGGACAATGAGGCTGGCAAGATCACCTGCTTGTGTCAAGTCACCCAGGTCAGAACTCCCTACAACCTTGTTCCAAGCCTGTAAACCTCTGCACCTCTGGGAAGCACAATCTGGCTTCTCAGAGTTTGATTCTTCTGTTGTTTGCTGAGACCCATTTATGTGTGTGCAGCCCTTGTAAAAAAACAGCCAACCTCCTGCCCACCTGTGTGTCACCTTTTTCAGTACCACTTACCCTCAGGCCTTTTCATTTGTGACTATGTATGACTGTACTGGCTGACTTCTGGCTTAGCCACTCTTCTTCATCCTGGCAGTGGCCACTGACTAATCCTCTACCATTTGTAGAGTATGTCTTGGACTCTGGTAGCAACACCCAGGGCAGGGGGCGGGTAACAGTGGCTTTCCCTCCTTTTTCTTTCCCTCCATGCCCCTTTAATCCTATCCTCTGACCTGACTCCCACTTCCCCTTCCTGTCTTTCAGAATGCAGCCAACCGGGGCTTAAAAGCCAGTGAGTGGGTACAGCAGGTGTCAGGCCTAATGGATGGCAAAGGTGGTGGCAAGGACGTGTCTGCCCAGGCCACAGGCAAGAATGTGGGCTGCCTGCAGGAGGCACTACAGCTGGCCACTTCCTTTGCCCAGCTCCGCCTAGGAGATGTGAAGAACTGAGGGTAGGGGGGCTCTCACTGGCAGGTGTCTCCCTCTCACCCGGATACATCAGTCCAGCTGGGAGCTCTCCATCTGCCACAAGGACATTAGAATCTTGGAACTTTATAAACAGCACCATCCGTCCTAACCCAGCAGTAACTGGAACACACCTGAGAGCCATCCTGTGACTCAGTGCCCCATTACATTACTTCCCTTCATATCAATGCCGTCTGTTTAGAACTACTACCCCAGGATTGCTATTTAACAACTTCATGATCTTGTCTGTAGATAACAGTTCTCTGCCAACCAGAGAGTTTTGGGTCTGCAGGTAGGAAAACTTTTTGCTGCAGAGAATAAAAGGACCATGTGCAATAACTTGATGCTGCCATGTGATCTGTGTCCCTGCTTCTCCTGAGGGACTCCTGTAGAATTTATGCTGTGTTCCAGCTGGTTCCTGGTTGCAGTCCTTACTGAGTCAGGCCCCTGAGCCCCCAGGAATTATCTCAAGACATTTGTGGAGGTGGAGGCAAACTAGGCCCCAGGTTTGATCCTCAGTGCAGCAAAAAATAATAAAAACAATAAACACGACTTAAGGCTATGGACGTAGCTCTGTGGTAGAGCACTTGCCTATTATATAAAGGCCCTGGGTTCCATCCGCAGCACTGCAAAAAAAAAAAAATCTACCAAGAGTTACAGAAAGCAAAGCAATGCTTTTCTTAGAGCTTCTCTTGGGGAGAACATCTCCATGTCTTAGACCCTCCGCTGGGGACATTGTGTGCCCCGCCCTCCCTTTGAGGCAGCTGCTGTGAAGTCAGGTGGTTTATGAGAAGAATTCAGGTGTAGCATTGCCCCCCACCCTCACTCCAGTAATTGCCCCATTCCCACTTGCTTGACCCAAACATGGTCAGTGAGGATAAAGACCCAGGTCTAGCTCTGAATTCAGTTGAAATTGAAATTCAGTCTAAAACTGCAGTTTGGAATCAGTATGTGGGAAGTAAAGATATAGCTGACCTGTGTTAGATACCCGATATAGCTAAGTGGTCCTGGGGCCAAGGGTCACTCTTGGCCCTGCCATCAGAGTTGAAGGGGGAGCAGGTCTATGCTGCAAGAAAGGGGCCCTCCTCCCACAGGGTATGAGAAAGAGGGAGGGGGCTGGGACCCTGGGTTAAAGCCGCATATGCCAGACAGGTGCCAGAAGTGCTAGAGATTGACTACATTGTCTAGTGCCCAGTGCAGCAAGAGAGACATTCCATCCATTCATTAAACAAGTATATCAACTAGGGCCCGGAGTACAGGAATTCAGGAACCAAAAAGTCCTTGCCTTGGACAAATCCATAAAAGAGTTGCACACGTGCAAAATTAAGATAACTGCAACCTTCACAGGAAAAGAAGATTAACATCCTGGCCTGGGAGACGCCATCAGCTGGATTCCGCCTTGCTCCCCCTGGCAGGCCTGGGCTTCCTTGCCCCTTGCAAGCGGTGGCGCTCGCTGTTCTTCCTCCAGGCCGGCAAGGGGCAGTGTGGGCTCCCCGCCTGCTGCTATCCCGACAGCCCTCACCCGGGCGCGCGTCTTTAAGCTGGCGGAAGAGCCGGCGCGCGAGGCAGGGCTGGGGGCGGAAGTGGCTCGCACTCCGGGTGCTGCCATGCCTGGAGACCACCGTCGCATCCGCGGGCCCGAGGAGTCCCAACCACCTCAACTGTATTCAGCGGACGAGGATGAGCCGCCTGCCCCCCGCGACCCGACACGGCTGCGGCCTGTGTACGCGCGCGCCGGGCTTCTGAGCCAGGCCAAAGGGTCGGCCTACCTGGAGGCGGGCGGTACCAAGGTGCTGTGCGCCGTGTCTGGCCCGCGCCAGGCCGAGGGCGGCGAGCGCGGCAGTGGCCCTGCTGGAGCGGGCGGCGAGGCCCCGGCCGCGCTGCGCGGTCGCCTGCTCTGCGACTTTCGCCGCGCACCCTTCTCGGGCCGCAAACGCCGCGCGCCTCCGGGCGGCGGCGAGGAGCGCGAGTTGGCCCTGGCGCTGCAGGAGGCGCTGGAGCCGGCTGTGCGCCTGGGGCGCTATCCGCGCGCGCAGCTCGAGGTGTCCGCGCTACTGCTGGAGGACGGCGGCTCGGCGCTGGCCGCCGCGCTCACGGCCGCCGCGCTTGCCCTGGCCGACGCGGGAATTGAGATGTACGACCTAGTGGTGGGCTGTGGCCTGAGCCTCTCGCCGGGACCTGCGCCCACCTGGCTGCTGGATCCCACGCGGCTCGAGGAGGAGCGCGCCGCCGCCGGTTTCACCGTGGCGCTTATGCCGGTGCTCAATCAGGTGGCCGGGCTGCTGGGCAGCGGGGAGGGCGGCCAGACCGAGAGCTGGGCCGAGGCCTTGCGCTTGGGCCTCGAAGGCTGCCAGCGCCTCTACCCCGTATTACAGCAGTGCCTGGTGCGGGCAGCCCGCCGGAGGGGAGCGGCCTCCGCATCCTGAGTTCCAAGCCTGAGCACCAACAAATGGAGTGCTGCTGCTGCTGTCCTTGAAAGACCTGTGCCGTCGGTCTCCTGCCTCCACCCAGCTAAGAATCTGGAGCACAGGAGAGGAGGTCCACACATGTACCGATGCACTGGACAGCTATGTTTGAGTGACTTTTTTTTTTACAAACTGTTAAAGGGACTTTGCTACTTGAGCTGGCACCCAGTTACGATCCAACTGAAGAAACCTATGGAAGCAGCCTTACTTCCAAGTTGAAAAGGACTTAAGCTGGACTTATCTGAAAAATGAGATCTGGAGCTGTGGCCTTTTAAGAGATGAACCCTGTATAGGCCAGCTAGTGACTCTTTCCAATATAACTGGGCTACTCTTAAGAGGATGAACAAGGGGGCAGTGCCTCAATATCTAAGCTAAAACATAACAAAAAAACTTTTTTTTTTTAATGTTGTAGAAACGTCTTCTGTTGTGGTTCTTTAAGTACCAGAGTAGGGGCAGCTGCTGAAATGTAATAAGAATGGGGAAAGTTGAATGGCCTTGGGTTACACCCCTACTCAGGTTTAGAGCCAGATAAGATACAAATCAGGGTTGGGTATTTGGAAAGGATTGTACTTTGGATGGAAGCAAGATCTCATCAGCATAACCACAGGCCTCCATTGCTGATGAGAAGTGGGGTCCTGGGCTGCCTTCATCTGGTGCCCCTGGGAGCAAGACCCTGAGCAGTGTGGCCTGGGGAGATGGCAGATGCACTGCCAAGAGTGAGAATTCCTAGATACAACGCCTCCTGCCCGACAGCCTCACCTTCAGATACAGCCCCGCTATTCTATAGGGCAGAGCTAGCTTAACTGACCATGAAGATGGGGTCTTCACTCTACTCAGACCTGGATTAAAGGAAGCTAGGAGACTTGTTCAGGAGGCAGCACAGCCCTTTCCCCTCTGTACCCTAGTTTGGTATGAGCTTTGAAATTTGAAGGTATCAAGGACCTGTTCAGCCTCTCTCCTGACTGCCTAGGACAGCCCAAAGACCAGAATAAAGTTGAGACCACAATAAGAATCCCCAACCAGGAAGGAGATATACAAATTTTAATGCTTCCCTTCTGATGTAATACATTTTGTGAGGCAAACCTGAAATATGTGGTGTCATACTAGCAAGAAACTATGAAGCTGGACACAAAAATTATACCCCTATTCTGAAGCATGGCTTTATAGAGTAGATGGGGAGTCTGGAACTAAAAGGGGTTAGGTGGGGCACACACAGGGTCTTACTATTTAGTGTCAGACTGGAGGCACACATGTGTTTTCAACACTTGCTGGAGAAAGCTGGGCTGGCTGCTGCATGTGCTCCATAGTACTGTGATTTGTGGCTCATGGGGAGGTGGCACCTGAGCCATATCTGCATCCAGGGAGCCCTGATGCTGCTCCCTACAGTACCCTATCAACTGCCTCCTCCCAGACAGCCTCACCTTCATAAGAATGGTGAGCTACTGCTGGGCTGACCAGGAGCTCATCTGAAAACCCTCTCCAAAGCTAAACCCACCACTATGGGGAGACTCAGCTGGCCTGCCTGACCTGTGCCTCTTCTTCCATTACTCAGAATGGGTGCCTCAGGTTGCCTGGATGCACCTAGGAGGCCTTTGGAAAAACAGGCAAGGAAGGGAGCCACCCAAGAAGGTGCATGAAACTGATGAGCCTGGAAGGGTTCCCACCTACTGGCTTCCCTCTTGGTAGGGTGCTTGATTCTTCGTCTGTAGAAAAAAATAAAAAGATGGGCCTGAGGTGGTGGCTCAGTGGTAGAGTGCTTGACTAGCGTGAGGCGCTAGGTTTGATTCTAGGCACCACATACAAATAAATAAATGTTCATCAACAACTAAAAAATATATTTTTAAAAACATTTTTAGTTGTAGGTGGACACAAAACGTTTATTTTTATTTTCTTAAATAACTTTGTTTAATTCTTTCTTTTGTGTGGTGCTGAAGATTGAACCCAGGGCCTCATGCATGCCAGGTGAGCGCTCTACCACTGAGCCACAACCGCAGGCCCCTAAAATATATTTTTAAAAAATAAAAGAGTGGGGCTAGGAATGTGGCTCAAATGGTAACGCGCTTGCCTGGCATGCACGGGGCGCTGAGTTCGATCCTCAGCACCACCTAAAATAAAATAAAGATGTTGTATCCACCGAAAACTGAAAGGAAAAATATTTAAAAAAATTCTCTCTCTCTTTAAAAAAAAAAAGTAGCTGATAAGACAGGGAGGCAGAGTAGAACTAGGAAAAAGGGCCAACATGTAGTCCCTTTGCTACCTGCCCCCCCACCCCTGTGTCTTTGGAGCTTTAGCAACTCCAGGGGAACTTTAGAGTCTTTTGGGGGGGTTGGGGTACATCTGGAATTGGACCCAGAAGTTGCACATGTTAAGCACACCCTCTATTACTAAGCTATATTCTCAGTTCCTCTTCAGGCTTCTTGAGACCTGGGAACTCAAAACCAGCAGGCAAAAGAAAGCATTTTCTCCTTCTAACCCATTCTTTTCCCAGGTCCTAGACAGTAGTGAAGGCCCTCCTAAGCTCAGAAGGCCAAGGGTGGAACTGAGGAGGTGGAGGAAGAGAGCTCATTATGCCCAATTCCGTGGCAGCACTGGCCTTGCTAAAAGGGCCCAAGAGGCAGTGTGGGCTTGGCCCATCTTAGGGACCACCAATAGTAGAAGAGAGTATGGGAGAACCAGTAATATTCAGGACCTTTAATACTGAAAAAATGGCATCTTCTCCAGCCAAGAATGTCACTGTACCATAGCTTCCCAGGGAGCTTGGTGCCATGCAGACAGCTCAAAGGCCCTGGGGGAGTAGGACCAGGGAGAAGGCAGAATTTGGTTCTTACCCAAGGGATCTGGGACCATGGGACACATTTGTAACGTTTCCTCTATAGTCTATAGCTCAAACATCTCCTGCCTTCCAGATAGAGATGATATTTCAGCCCACAACAGATCCAAGTGCCCAACTGCTTGGCAGTAGTCCCTGGTATAGCATAGCTGACCAAGCCCAGAGCTGCGAGGATAAAATGCAAGGCCAGGCCCATCCTTTACTTGGGCTCCTCTCAAGTTGAAGTCATATGCTTTCCCCTACCCCACTATTGTGTGCTGCACAAACCCAAGTCCCTCCCTTGCTCTGAAGGCCACAAGGACCCAAATACAAGGGGGAGAAGAGGGGTAGACCACTCACTGCCTGCTGGGTGTCTGTGCTTTCCTCGGAGCTGTCTGCCTCCAGATGGAACCTCTGGTCCCTGGGCTCCTGCTGGGGCTCCGGAGTTCTGCATGAGGACCCCTCACTACCAGGGTTCCTGTGATCTTCACTGTCCTTTGTCCCTGCGCAGAGTTGCCAGTCAATGGCCAAGTTTGGAGGCTCCAGCTGACCCCATCAGGGTCCAGCATTGATTTAGGATATCTAGGGCTTGGGAGGGCAAGAAGCAGATGGACCAGGATACTGCTCAGGCTCCAGATAGCTGCTGAATAGGAGGGGGTGACAGAACAACCCAGAAGCCACAAGCATCCTCCAGTCACAAGAACAGCCAGAGGGAATAGATGGGAAGTGCACTCCAGAGAAGGGAGGCCTGCAGACAGAGAAAACCCCAGGCGGAACCCTGGGCATCCTGGCATCTTCAGAAGCAGGAAAAGCTGGGGCTGAGAGCATGGCCTGGGCCCACCCTGGGTGCCTGACCTGCAGGATGGTCTCTCTGTTGGTCCATATGTTCCAGACTCTCCAACAGGCTGTCCACTTGAGTTTTGATCTGGCTCAGCTCCCCTCTGATGGAGCGCAGCTCCTCAGTCCTGACTGCTGGGAGAGGGCCAGTGTTGGACCTCAGCTCCTGGGCACAGAGGCCACAGGAGATGAGGGTAACGTTGCCAGGGCTCTAGGGCCTGTTCTTATTGTAGGTACAGCCATACAGTTCCTCCCAAGCTCTGCAGGAGAAATCTATGTCCCCTTACTTACGCTTTATCTGCCTGGGGGACAGGTGGTTATTCCTGGAAACTTTGTAGGGGCTGCAACTGTTCTTGACTCCCATGCCCAAATGGGTCCTTCTCATCTTGGAAGGCATCTGGCTGATGAGTGGAGGGATCCTCTGGTATTCATTCATTCTATAGGGACAGGAGAGAGGAGAAGTCAAGCCGATCAGCACCTCCATCTCCCCCAGAGGACCCAGGAGTAGGACCCACTCACCTGTAGGGGACTTCTTCTCTGTGCAGCTCAAAGTTCAGGTTGTAGTTACTGCTGCTGCTGCAGAGACAAATGGGAAGTTGGGGAGGGCGGGGTGGGGGGGGGAGTCACTGTCTAGGGCCAGAATTTCTACCCGGTCCCTAACTGAATTTGGGGAAGTGGAAATAACACAGCTGTTCCTTAGAGCCCCAGGATTCTCCACCTGAAGAACCCCCTGGGACTTGCTCAAGGTCACTTTGAGAGACCACAGCAAACCAGCTTTCCCCTGGATGCACTCTGATGAGGAGCTAATGGTTCCAGGTGGCAGGAAGAGACAATCGCCTGCAGGCTTCTGGCCCTCCAAAGGCTTTTCTGCCTAAGCAGGGCACAGTTGATGTTCTGGATCTTAATCTGGCAAAGGATGAAAAGGAAGAATTAAGTCAGAGCCCAAAGCCACTGTGGGGGTGTGAGAGTCTTTAATCCTCCTGTGGCAATTGCCAGGATGCAGCGACTAGCACAGGCAGGGCCAGCAGGCAAGGA